ATTCCGTTAATTAATTTTCGATGGTTATTCCGATCAAAGGAACTATGATCTATGAATAACAATTGTGCGAATTGGAATAGTATATTTCCCGTATAAATGTTTAAACAATTTGGTGCTTAAATTGTGCTCTCAGGTCTTCGTTTTGATCACAGAGCTTTTATTAATTAAATACTGGCAGGATTATTATGAAAATTTCCAAGATTGCTAAAAATAAAATCAGGAAGATTCTAAATATTAAATTGCAACGAATATATTCATATCCAGTTATACAAAATATTTTTGTAAATCTTCTGAATGCTAAAATTCACTAAATATTAATTAATCTCGTCAGTAAATTATCAATAATTACTAAAATATAAACAATGATATTTAAATATTTTGTGAGTGCCATAAACAGTCCATTTAAGTGCTAATTTTTATCACGGAATTTCTATTAAATAACCATACTATATGATCATTATGAAAATTTCCATGATTATTAAAAATAAAATCAAGAAGATTCTAAATATTAAATTACCAGAAATATATTTATAGCCCATTATTAATAATATTTTTGCAAATATTCTAGATGCTAAAATTGACTAAATATTAATTAATTTTGCCAATAAATTTCCAATAATTATTCCATTATAAGCAATCATACTTGAATATTTTGTGAGTGCCATAAACAGTGTATTCAAATGCTTATTTTCAACACAGAGCTTCGATTAAATAAAATATTGCCTGAACATTATGAGAATTTTCAAGATTAATAAAAATAAAATCAGGAAGATTCTAAATATTAAATTACCAGAAATATATTTATAGCCTATTATTAATAATATTTTTGTAAATATTCTAGATGCTGAAATTCACTAAATATTAATTAATTTCTACAATAAATTTCCAATAATTATTCCAATTATTATTTCCAATCATATTTAAATATTTTGTGAGTGTCATAAACAGTGCATTCAAATGCTTATTTTGATCACAGAGCTTCAATTAAATAAACATACTGCATAATTATTATGAAAATTTCCAAGATTACTAAAAGTAAAATCAAGAGGATTCTAAATATTAAATTACCAAAAATATATTCATAGTCTATTATTAATAATATTTTTGTAAATCTTCTGGATGCTAAAATTTACTAAATGCTAATTAATTTCGTTAATAAATTTCGAGTAATTATTGCAAAATAAACAATCATATTTAAATATTTTATGGGTGCATTAACATTGTATTCAAATGTTTATTTTGAACACAGAGCTTCTATTAAATAAATATTACATGATTATTATGAAAATTTCCAAGATTACTAAAAATAAAATCAAGAAGTTTTTAAATATTAAATTATCAAAATATCAAAGTATATATATATTCCAGATGCTAAAATGCACGAAATATTAATTAATTTCGTCAATAAATTTCCAATAATTATTCCATTACAAACAATCGTATTTAAATATTTTATGAATGCCATAAACAGTGTAATTCAAATGCTTATTTCGATCACAGAGCTTCTTCCAAGCCGCCATATTGCATTGGAATACAAAAACAATGAAACTCCGATAATTGTAACACCCTGCTCCATATAACAAAATATCAAATTACCAATTGAATAACTAATAAATCAACAATTAAATTTATTAATTAATAAAAACACTAATTCCAATATCAAATAAATATCAATTCAATTTATCAATATTTATCAATATTACACATGAATATATTACATCAATATTACAATTTATATACACATAAATACCCCAAAACCTCATTGAATTTTTAAGGATTCCTCGAGTACAAACGCAAATACAAGTCTCTGTGCATCGAAAGAAAAACCATGTTCATTTTAACAGTTCCATAAACCCATACCACGAACCTTTTCCAAAATCACGAACGACGTGCTTGCTCGCCAGGACCAATAACACCGTTGCAACCTATCCGACGGATGCTGCTAGCCATAAAGCCAACATCGAAGACACCCCAATTCACGCGAGACGTAAATTTAAGTCACGATCGCCCCTAACGTCCGGAATCACCGGGTCCCGAGAATATGCTTCTCCTCTGGCCAACTTCGACGACGTTTCCGTGGCGCGAAATAAGGGACCATCAGGACGTCTGTTCCGCTTTACTTCCATCTTTTCCCGATCCTCGCCGGGGAGGGTGGCCTCGAATTAATAAAATCCCACGAACCGCCCCGGCGTCTCTGGAGCGTGAAAAATGGCCGAAAATCTGATATTCCGGATTAAAAACATTGAAATTCAAAACCAGTCCCCGCGGCGGCGGTCGTCGGGGCGAGGGGCAGGGTCGTGAAGTCGTTAAGGGTCAGTTTCAACCCTGCCTAGAGCCGAACCCCTGTACGCCTGCAGCCACCGAGGAGCATCGTTCCACGTGGATATTATTTTTAAACCCCCGCGTGGCCGCAATTTGACACAGCCGCGCCGTTTGAATTCCGAATTCAATCGACGGACCCGATTCCTATCCCGATTTCGCGAAATTAAGGGTGCCCAGGAAATTGATAGCTGCCGGCCGAACCCGTGTATACGCGGCCAGGCCGCACGCGTTGCACGCACATGTTCCGTGATGTTGCGGTGTCCCTTCGACGAGAGATTTTTCCCAGGTTTAATATATATCATCGAGCTTCCCGGTAATCTTCTTCGCTGTTTGACGCGGTCGCAACTTATCGCGAGTATAATCGGATAGAGGGGTGAAATCCATAGTTCCTCCTCGCGTCGTTCAGGAGGGAGAAAAGTGTTTTTCGTCTATGTTCCTTACAGTGCATCGCATTGTAGTCAGGGTGAATTACAATTGAAGATTATAATTAGGTTTTGCATATTTGTGAGAATTGTTTAGGAGGCAGCAAGAGGACGGTGGTAGATAATAAAAGTATGATTTATTGTGAAGTGATTTAAGACTTATTCTAGACGCTATGATATTTCACAGTGACTATCTCTTGGAACTGTTCGTTTCACGCCCATGGACCTTTATATAATCCGTTTGCATCCAAGCGCGGAATATTCCGCGAGCCCGCGACTGTCTACTATCACCAAGCGCGGAATATTCCGCGAGCTCGCGACTGTCTATTATCACCAAACGCGGAATATTCCGCGAGCTGTCGTTCGAGCGCGGAATATCCCGCAAGTCCATGACTGTCTACTATCACCAAGCGCAGAATATTCCGTGCGACTGTCTACTATCACCAAGCGCGGAATATTCCGCGAGCTCGCGACTGTCTATTATCACCAAGCGCGGAATATTCCGCGAGCTGTCGTTCGAGCACGGAATATCCCGCAAGTCCATGACTGTCTACTATCACCAAGCGCAAAATATTCCGCGTGTCTACGACTGTCTACTATCACCAAGCGCGGCATATTCCGCGAGCCGTCGTTGAAGCGCGGTATATTCTGCGAACCCGCGACTGTCTACTATCACCAAGCGCGGAATATTCCGCGAGCCCGCGACTGTCTACTATCACCAAACGCGGAATATTCCGCGAGTCGTCGTTAGAGCGCGGAATATTCCGCGAGCCCGCGATGATCTATCACCAAGCGCGGAATATCCCGCAAGTCCACGACTGTCTACTATCACCAAGCGCGGCATATTCCGCGAGCCGTCGTTGAAGCGCGGTATATTCTGCGAATCCGCGACTGTCTACTATCACCAAGCGCGGAATATTCCGCGAGCCCACGGCAGTCTACTATCACCAAGCGCGGAATATTCCGCGAGTCGTCGTTGGAGCGCGGTATATTTGCGAACCCGCGAGTGTCTACTATCACCAATCGCGGAATATTCCGCGAGTCGTCGTTTACTGCATATAAGACCGACCACACACACCATTCCTACATATTTATATAATTACTTTCATTTCAACATTTTGGTACGAAATCTACCATTTTTGATTCTGCGTGAAAAAGCAAACCGAAAATGTGGAATACAATTTATATTACATACAAGGCCTCGTTTCCGAGAAAATTGAAGTTAAATATGTGATGGTGTGTAGTTGCTATTCGTAGCCATATTGGTTGATTGACACTGGCTGTTTGTGGACGACTGGTACAAAATCATCGAGCTAATTCGGGATATTTATAAACACGAGTGTAAGTAGAGATAATAATTCGTAGCAAGATTCGTTAAATCGATAATTATTCATATGCACGCGCGCCATCGAGAATTGAAAGCTAATTTTCTCCGAAACGGTGTGACGTATGGCAAAATTTTATTCTATATTTTCGACTTTGTTTTTGACGTAGAAACCACAGGAAAAATCGTGTGACTCAATATTTTCATAATGGTATTTCAATAATCTGATATCTCCCATATTCCAAAGTCTTCCTAAAATGACCCCATCTCTTCAATTTTTTAAATATTCAGTACAAAACCACTTGTTCAATACCTGAATTTTTACATTTACATAAATTTTGAGTTTCCATTAATACTAGAACTGCCATGAGGCTCGAAATGACTCGTTTCGGTCATTTTATTTTCGCGATTGCTGAAAATATGCAACTGCTTTTGGTAAATGTTATACCGATTTCTGTTCAGATAGGGTCACAATTACGTATGCTCTTTTATTTTCACTATACCATATTAATTAATAACCACTGCATGCACTATATTTAGGTATAGGTACTACAGACAGGTAGTTCTAGTTATCGCGTCGCGATTGAATTTTGGGGAAATTCTGACGTTGTAAATCCGTCTCGCGATGTCGCTGTGTTGCCCACCAAATTAATATTGGACAACTGTTTCAATTATCACGAACAAAAGAAAATTCTCAGCTGGAATGGAACGCTAGACTCTGGTACGACGATAGTAATCGAAGTGACGTTTTCATAGTACTGCTCTCTTGGAGTCTGCACGTGTAATCGAGATTCTTTCGTTTGGCACCGGGTAGGATTGACTCCTCGTTTGCGCAAGACACCAACGTGGTGCCACCTTAGTGTCAATCACTGATTGTTAACGTCAAATTCGACCAGGGGTCTAATCAAAGCTGTTTTATTCGCCTGTTCCAGAACCCCGATGGCTGCAATGCTCGCAGTGCTCCAGAAGACTAACCTCAGCCTGGGAGCTGCTGCAGCACGTGCAGAGTGTGCACGGCGCCAGGCTATACACCTCCCCGTCGTCGTCGACGAACTCATCGTCGAACACGCCAGCGCCGAGTCCGCCGACGCCCACTCCCACTCACACGCACCACCTGAGTCCACCGAACCACCTGAACCTGAGCAGCAAATCCACGGGAAGCTCGTCCACGGGCAACTCGTCTGGCGGCACGAACTCGAGCGGTAGCAGTGGCGGCAGACAGCAACTGCAATCCTCGGCATCCCTGGTCGGCGATCCCCTGCACAGTTTTCTAAGGCTACCTCAACACCTCGAACGAAGCTTCCCGCCTATGTTCAGGCCGGACTTCCTGGCCCTGAATCCGCTGGCCGGGTACAGGGGCCTGCAGGAACTGCAGACGGCGACCAGGAACCTCCAGAACCTGGGCGATCCTCTACGAGGCATGGACGGTCTGAACCTCGGCGACCCCTTGGTCCGCAGTTCATTGGACTCGTTGAACAACGCCCGGAACCTGGCGAACTTGGCCGAGCTGTCTCACGGCCGTGGTCTTGCCGGCCAGGCCCATCCTCCTCCACTAGAGGCCAATCTGGATTTTTACTCGGCGCGCCTAAGGAGCCTCGCTAATCCGTCCTTAGGCGCGGCTCCACCCAGTAGCGGTAACCCTACGACAAACTCCAATCCTCCCGCCCCGGTACCAGCTGTGCCTGTACCGAGCACCGTCCAGCAGCAGCAACAGCAGCAACAGCAGCAGCAGCCACCAGCCCAGAATCACAGCCAGCCCGTGGAACCACCTAGCCCGGCACCCAACAACCCTGTCATCATAACGCATAATAATCATCAGAAAGAGAACTCGCCACCCTGCTACAGTCAGAGTCCAGTTGTGCATCACAACAACAACAACTCTACCGACAGCGAGAAGACCAGTCCACCTGTAGCCTCCACGCCTATCATAGCAGACTCTGCGTCGGAGACCATCTACTCCTGCGAGGTCTGTGACAAGAAATTCCGCTTCCAGTCCAACCTCGTCGTTCATCGACGGAGTCATCGAGATAAAGAGAGACAGTATCAGCAAGACGGCACGCAGGATGGACAAACAACGCCGACCAGGTGCGAGGTGTGCGAGATGGAGATAGCCAGTTTCGCAGAGCTCAGGAAACACATGAGAAAGGAACACCAGGAGAACATGAACGCCGCTAGTCCCCAAGGCAGTGTCGAGACGGTCCCCGATGACGGGTCTAGTTGCGACGAGAATATGGACCTCGACGAGGCTGAGGAGAACGAGCAGAAGGCTGACAGAGAGGACACCGAGGAGAACACACCGGAGGATCTCAGCACTACGCAAGGTCAGAGCGGCGAGGAGAGCGGCGGAAGGGTGGAGCAGAAGCCTGCCAGCCTGGTCGGCGACCTGATGGAGAAGTTCGGGTTGAGCAACATAGCGCAGTACTCGGAAGCTTACAGGCAGGCTCTGCAAGAGAACCACCGCGGCGGATTCATCAAGACGGAGCCCCCGTCGAACCTGACCAACTCGCTGAACAACAACAAGGAGAAAGACAGCGCCCTGTCGCCCACGAACTTCAATTCCTCGACCACGCCTAACATATTCTCCGGTCAGGGTTTTCCCAGGTCCTCGGGACCGGACTTTGGCGGCCTGTGGCTGCCAAGTCCCCATTACCTGGAGAACAACGAGTTCCGCAAAGCGACCAAGGCCACCACGTCGAGCCTCGCCCTGCAGGGTCTGCCCAGTCCGTTGTTGAAGAAGGAACGGAGCGGGAGGAACGACACGTGCGAGTATTGCGGCAAGGTGTTCAAGAACTGTTCCAACTTGACTGTGCACAGGCGGTCGCACACCGGCGAGAAACCGTACAAGTGCGAGCTTTGCTCGTACGCGTGCGCGCAGAGCTCGAAGCTGACCAGGCACATGAAGACTCACGGTAGACACGGCAAGGATACGTACAAGTGTCGATTCTGCGAGATGCCGTTCTCCGTGCCCAGTACGCTGGAGAAGCACATGAGGAAGTGCGTGGTGGTGGTGCAACAGGGCCCGAAATTGGGCATGCCCTACCCTGGCAGCCAGGACGAGGACTCTTCGCTGAGTACCAAGGACACTTGATCTTGGAACGGAAGCCTACCGCCGATCCCGCCATTGTGGCCTCACAGGCCACCCTATCCGGTGTACTGAACAGGGGATCCTGTTCCTCTGCAGCGAGAGGACGGAGATAACGACAGAAGAGGCGAATCCTGACCGAGTGAGTTGCTCGACGACGACGACAGACCTTGTGCGACGAGTCGCGTGCAGCGTGTTGGACATGGTACGCGTGAGGATGGTCCATGTACCCCGGAGGATCTGCCTTGGTCAACTGTCCGTGGTCGCCTCTGAGGATTGGGAGAGGCGGTAGGTCGGCGAACGAGGAACCAGCTGATCGACAAGACCTGGAAACGGTCCCGGCAATGGTGCAGTGTACATGAATGTATAAAAGCGAGGGAGACACTGGCCTCGACAGGGTCCTCTAGATGAGGAAGATCGCGCGGAGGAGCGAGGCGCGATGGCGACTTTAATGGAACTAGAGAAACGAACGAATGGTTACCACTTTGCGAGTCTCAGCACAGCTATTTAAAGAAGTATATCCTTATAAATAGTTATAAATAAAGACATTATAAATATGAACATATATATATATATCTATACATATAAAGAGTATAAATATATAAATATATATATAAATATATATATATAAATATAAATCGCGAGATACAGAGGAGAGTTATACAGAATATAAATATTATACATAGGCTAATGAACATAGTAACTTTATTATCGCATTTGAAGATTATTTATTTAATAACGATAGAGATATTATCGCGTACCGTGTAACGTGATGTACGTGCGTGGATAACCGGTGCGCACCTCTATAATACGTGTACACGCATCGCGTCATGCGACACGAGCAACCTGCAAACCACTCCGTACGTATAATGTTAGGCGCAAATATCGAGGAAGATCGTGGAGCGATCCACAGGGGCGGAGGGGGAATCTTTTTGTACATTGCACCGACGAGGTCGCCACCGGCGCACCAGGGCTACCCGTGGACCGCGCCACGGGGTCCCCGTGGGTCCACTCTCTCGCGTTTCCCGAGACCGAAAAAGGAAGGAGGAGTGGGGGCAAAAAGCACGAAAAGTTACGACACACGGGCTACTTTTCCTTTATTCCGCGATTTGGAGTCGCGTGGGCGACCTCGACGACGATTATCCTCTGTGTGTATATAGACGCGAAACATCGATACTCGAAATCACCTCCAGCCCCCCGAACCCCCCCCGAGAAGGCCCCGATTCGCTCACGTATCGATGATTAGGATACCGCGGGTACTTGTAACGATTAATGGTGTACAGCGTGAGCCGGAAGTGTGCGCTGCGTTTTAAGTAGACTCTAAGCTCTAGCCTCGATCCTATGTAAAATGTATCATAGTACATTTATTGTCTATTATTATTATTATTATTATTA